CAGTTGTCGCCGTGGTTGCAACGCCGGCCGCCGCGGGTCTTCATCACTTGTGGCCGCCATCGGCAGCACCGGTGGGTGTTGGTTTGCAGCACTTGTCGCTCGTGGGGTTGAGGGAGGCGGGGTGGGGGCAGCCATGGCCAACGGATGATTGAAGAACCAAAAGTAGCGCGGTGGCCATGGCCGACCGGCGCAGCTAGTCGCCGATGGGGGAGATGCGAGCATCTACGGAAGAGAAATAAGAGAAGAGCGGAGCTTGCCATGTACAAGGGATGAAAAGAGATAAGGTAACATGGGGAGGGCGGCGTTCTGTGGTGGGCCTACGGCCTACGCGCAGACGCGGAGCGAGCGGTGCGACCGGCCGAAAACTCGACCGGCGCACCGCACAGAAACGTTTCCCATAACCGAATGTGTTGGAGCCAGAGCGAGATATAGAGAGAGAGGGCGTGCAACAGCTCTTGTATTCATCATCTGGTGTTACACTGGTTTATATATGTACAGCTCAACTGACTCAACCGATGCTAGGCTAAAAACTAGGCATGCACAGAGGACACGAACACACGTTCGCTAACACCCCGCCGCAGTCGTGTCGTCGCTGCTTGGCAAGACACAAAGACTGGACCGGAAAGCCTGGAAGACCGATGTTGGCAAACCCTTGGTCATGATATCTGCGAGCTGTTGAGTCGTTGGTACATGTACAATGCGAAAATCGCCGAGGGCCACCTTCTCTCTGACAAAATGAATGTCCAACTCGATGTGTTTTGTCCGCCGATGATGAACGGGATTGGTGGACATATACACGGCCGAGATGTTGTCACAAAAGACGATGGTAGCCTTCGGCGGTGAGCCACCGAGCTCATGGAGAAGTTGTCGTAGCCATACACAATCGGCGACGGCGTTGGCGACGGCGCGGTATTCTGCTTCCGCGCTGGATCGTGACACGATGGCCTGCCGCTTCGAGGACCAGCTGACAAGCGTGTCACCGAGATAAACGCAATAGCCAGAGGTAGAGCGGCGGGTGTCGGGGCAGCCGGCCCAGTCGGCGTCGGAGTAAGCGATGATCTCAGTCGACCGAGAGATCGGAAGTAGAAGACCGTGGGTGGAGGTGCCGCGAACATAGCGTAGAATGCGCTTGATGATGGCAAGATGACTGTCCCGTGGATCATGCATGTGCAAGCACGCCTGCTGGACCGCGTACGCCAGATCAGGGCGTGTCATAGTGAGGTATTGCAGCCCGCCTGCGAGGCTGCGATACTCCGAGGGATCGTCCACGGGGCGGCCGACGTCGGCGGCAACCTTGGGCGACGTGTCAACCGGAGTGGAAGCGGGATGGCACTGCGACATGCCGGCGCGACGGAGAAGGTCCTCGGCGTATTGGGTCTGGTTGAGGAAGAACCCACGCGAGGTGCGCTGCACGCGTATGCCGAGGAAGTAGTGGAGAGCACCCATGTCCGTCATCGCGAACTCGTGCTGAAGCTGATCGACAATGGTGCGAAGCAAGACCGCCGATGAGGCAGCAAGGACGATGTCGTCGACGTACAGTAGAAGATAGGCGGTGTCGCCGCCCCGCCGTAGTATGAATAGCGAGGCGTCGGAGCGCGAGGCGGTGAACCCAATGGTGGCGGCGAAGGTGGCGAAGCGATGAAACCAAGCCCGCGGAGCCTGCTTGAGGCCGTATAGGGACTTGGAGAGGCAGCACACATGATCGCGGCGAGCCTCGTCGACGAATCCAGCAGGTTGATAGCAGTAGACCTGTTCGTCGAGGAGGCCGTGAAGGAAGGCGTTCTTCACGTCGAGCTGGTGCACCGGCCAGCCACGTGAGCACGCCAGAGTAAGCACGGTGCGGATCGTCGCTGGCTTTACCACCGGAGAGAAAGTCTCGCCGAAGTCGATGCCCGGGCGCTGTGTGAAGCCGCGGACAACCCAACGAGCTTTGTACCGTTCGAGGGATCCGTCGGCGTTCGTTTTGTGCCTGAAAACCCACTTGCCCGTGACAATATTAGTGTGAGGTGGGCGAGGGACAAGGGTCCACGTGGAGTTGGCGAGGAGAGCATCGAATTCGGATTGCATGGCAGAGCGCCAGTTCGGGTCGTTGAGAGCAGCTCGAACGGACGTGGGAATGGGAGAGATTGTGGTGGCATGCAGATTGGCGTATTTTGGGTTCGGTTGGAATATTCCATGGCGTGCACGCGTGAGCATTGGGTGTGGAACATGCGCAGGAGGCGGCTCTGGAGAGACGTGGTGTATGGGAGTTGGTGGGGTAGGTGGGCCAGCGGGTGTAGAGTTGGGCCCGGGCGGGGACGTGGGGAAAGGAGTGGAGTGCGGAGTGGGAGGCGGGGATTGCATGGGTGGGCCAGGTGGCGATCCAGGAGGGGTCGGGGTAGGCGGTGGCCATGCAACGTCGACGTAGTCCGCGGGAGGTGGATCACGAGCTGATTCGGGCGAGTCTTCAGGAGATTTTGGCAGCGTTTTAAATGGAAAGATAGACTCCACGAAAGTTACGTGCCTGGAGAATAGGATGCGCCGGGTAATGGGGTCGTAACAACGATAGCCTTTTCGCTCGTCCGGGTAACCGAGAAAAATGCAAGCCGCTGATCGAGGGGAGAGTTTGTGTGGGGCGGTAGCAATGAGGTTGGGATAACAGAGGCATCCAAAAACACGGAGATGACGAAAATCGGGTGGGGTCCCGAAGAGAAGTTCGTATGGTGTGGTGAGGAGATTGGCAGGGACGCCGATTTAGGAGATAGGTGGACGTGGCAAGGGCTTCGGCCCACCAACGAGGAGGCATGGAGGCGTGTAGGAGGAGGGTCCGGACACCGTCGTTGAGGGTACGGAGTATCCGTTCAGCCTTGCCGTTTTGTTGGGAAGTATGGGGACAGGTGAGGCGGAAGAGCGTGCCGTGGGAGGCAAAGAGTGAGCGATTTGCGAGATTGTCGAATTCACGCCCATTGTCGGTCTGAAAGGCGAGGATAGGATGGGAGAATTGTGTTTGAGCGTAGGCATAAAACTGAACAAGGAGACTATGAACCTCAGATTTGCGGCGTACGGGAAAGGTCCAGACATAGTGTGTGAAATCATCTAAAATGACCAAATAATATTGATAACCAGATACACTTGAGATCGGACTCGTCCATAAGTCACAATGACAAAGTTCAAAAGGAAAAGAAGTGTGAGAGGAAGAAGAACTAAAGGGAAGTCTAGTGTGTTTGCCTAGACGACAAGCCTCGCAATGTGTCGTCGAGGTTTTATTACAACTGAAATCAAAAAAAGAAGAGGCTTTGGCAAGGGCGGCGGCTCCAGGATGGCCGAGGCGCTGGTGCCACAAGTCGGCGGTGACGGCGGCGGTGAGGCAGTGGCTTGACGGGGCGAAGGTGTAGAGGTCGCCGGAGGAGTCACATCGGAGAAGCACCGTCTTTGTGGCCAGATCCTTGATAGAAAAACCATAGGGATCAAATTCAATTGAAACTAAATTGTCACGAGTGAAAGCACGAACGGAAACTAAGTTTTTGATGAGGGAGGGAGAGATGAGAATTTCAAGAAGGGAGAGAGGTCGGGAGGGGGTACAGAAGGAAGTAGAGCCGACGCCGGTAATGGGAAGAAGAGAACCATTGCCGACGATGATAGAAGAAGGAGAGGATGGGTTGGGT